AATTAATAAAAATTTAATTATTTTATATTTTTTAGTACTATTATATTTCACCTTCCCAAAAAAATTCATAAAAACATATTACTTTATAAAAATTAATTTCAAAAATTATATTTGATATATTATGTAATTTTGAAGTACAATCTAACATATTAAAATTAGAATCATTTCATAATAAAAATGAAATGATAATAAAAACTCATTTTTCGAAAAATAAATATATTCATTTGTTAATAAATAAAAACATTATTTTTATATATGTACGTAAAAGGTATATAGTAACCATTTGGATGACCAAAAAATAATATTAATCAAAATATTTACGAACCGTTTAAACAATAATTAATTGAGGGAGTTAATTTAAGAGCAAAAGTGTGAATTCCATAAATATATGTAAAAAAAAAATTCACTTAAAGTTATTTAAAAGTAAAAAAAAAAACTTATAATTGTAAAAATTATTTGTAACTTAACAATATATTAACTTAAAAATTTGGAGTAAATATTTAGATTCATTTAATTTTTAAAATTAAATATTAACTTATATTAAATAGATTATCTATAAATAAAATATCATCTAAATAAAAAAAATATCAAAGGAATCTCTCCATATTTATTATGGAGACTTCATCTCTCCATGAGATCAAGTCTCCATATCACGAAGGATTTTCCTCCGTAATACGGAAGCTTGTTATGAGAGATCAAGTCTCCGTATTACAGAGGATTGAAACTTCGAAGCATGAAGACTAATTTTTTTTTTTTGAATTTGTTTATTAGTATTTGTTGATATTTTTTGCTATCACTATTTTATTTCTAACAATCACTTTTATGTAAGAATTATTAACAAATAAAAATACAGACAAAAAATATTTATAAAATGTAAGAAGTTACTTATAAGTAAAAAATTTACAATTTTGACGCTAATAAAAATACAATAAATATAAAACTTGTGCAACGCATGTGTGAAGGACTAGTATGTAAAAAGAGAGAGGAAAAATGAGGGCTATGAAGAAAATATGTAGTTGTAATAATAAAAATGGTGAATTTTTCTAATTGTTCTGGGGTTTAAATGGCAATATAAAATGTGTGGAAAATATTATTTACAAAATTTTATAATCTTTGAATTTTGTGCCTTTCATTTCATTTGCGACTATACAATGACTCACATAAGAAGCACTAATCGCAATAAATTTTTCATTTTAACGACATCATGAAAGGAAATAAATTACATTTATGAGTTTTATATGCTTCTTATCGACATTTATTCTTGACATTCATCATTTTTGTGAAAAAGGATAGAACTTGAAAAATGAAATTGCACTGTAAATACACTCTCGAGCAACTTACTATTAAAAATGAGACGCTCTTTTTCAAAATTTAGGCATATAGTTGAGAAAATACGATGATAGTCTGAACATTTTCCTAACAAATTTAATAGCTGGGCTTCTTACTCTGCAATATATACATAGTAGTGGAAAGAATTCCAAATATGAATATCAAACTGTAAACCACATATTTAAGACACCATTGGAAGTCAGATTTAACATCTGCTAATTATTTCAGTTTCAGAATGCAAAGTATGTATCATATGGAAGCTTCGAGTTCGTCGGGCGCTACTGCTGCTCCATTCGGTTCATCGTCTGCATGAAGTTGAGCTGAAACATCATCTATGGCAGAATTCAGCTGGGCAATCTTTTCGGTTAGTATCTTGCGTGTCCTCTGTTTAGAGCAAAACAAGCAAAAATTATATTCTTTGTCAATAGAAATCATAGAGCAAACAAAATTTCCTACTGATTAAAGATGTAATAGCACTTAGAATCTATGCTCCCATAATTCTTTTCTTCTTTAGTTTTTTGGCTGTTCCTTGCACATCAAATTGATTACTTTTGTTTTAGGATGTTTCAGGAAAGATAACCACTCGGTCCAATTTTTGAAAATACCCCGGGTTAAACAATTAATATACTAGTCAAATAACCATTTCACCACATCAAGAAACCTCCAAAGCCACCATCATCACACTATAATCACCTTCAAAAGTATTAATGGATTCAAGTGTCACCAACAGGGGTTTTGTTTTGTTTTTTTTTTTTTTTAAACTCTAATAGAATAACGGTAAGGTTCCATGTTTGAGAGTATTAATTTGAATCCTTAAAAGTTTGTCCCCATCTAATAGGCCGTTTAGGGAACTATAGATTTTGTTATTATTTTCATCTGATACGTTTTCCAAGTCAACAACTTGCCACTTAAAGATTAACATGGTGTTCGAGACTTAATACAGGTTGATGCTAAAGGCTAAATTCATTCCTAAAATTAAAAACTCGTGGAATATACAGTGGGTGGCATACATTACTTTGCAACTGATTAGCAGGATGAAGTGTATTTCATCAATACCAATACAATGTCGACAGGATATATCATGCAGAGGACCTTATTGTATATGATACTAGAATAATCCACTACAACGCAGAAGAATGGATTTATTAAAGAGAGGGGTGTGACAAAAGCAAAGTCAGATATTTTCAAGTGGCAGTAAAAATCAACCTATTGAATACTTCCACAATGCTTTAACAAAAACCTTGAGAAGTACAAGCATGCAGAGATAATATTCACACGCTCAGGAGGATAATCAAAGCCATCTAAAAGCATGAACCGTCCAACGCTCAAAGATAAAATAATGGGGTTGAAACTTCTAGGAATGACACCGTGGAAGAATTCCTCTTTCCAAGATTTCACGTTTTCCCAATCAACATTTCTGAGAACTAACAAAACATAGAAAATCAGGACTGTTTAGAGCTAAACACGAGTGTTTATTCCACTACCAGGATTATTAGAGCTAAAGACGTGGTGTTGCCCTTTCTTTGTGCCATCTTTTTCTTTTTTTAAAAAAAAATTGATTTTCCCTCTTCTTTAGCTTCTATTTGGAAGTTCCTTTGCTTCTTTTCTTCACAAGAGGAGTGATTTTTCCAGCGCATACGGCTCATTGTACCTACCGAAATAATGGGATGCTCCGGCTAAAGGACTATGGATTCAAAACACGAGTTAGAGGGATAAGGAGAGAGGTTGGCAGGCAGAAGCAAGAGGACCAAGATTATAAATGCTTCAATATATGCTACTATCTAAGGGGGCAAGCTTATACAAGTTAGTAATTTTCATTTATTTAGGTGTAAAGAATATGAAATGCATAAGCGCGGGTTGCAGAGTAATGAAATGACCAAAACAAGAGATTAATGGGTTACAGATGGCCTTTATACAAAAGCCAACAAATGCAAATCCACTATTTTGTAATCTACATGGCTTAAGCAGAGTGAAAATTGTGACGCAAAGTTTGTCCCTAGTGAAACATCAAAAATAAATCACACAATCAAGTAGAGACATTTCTAGACAAGTTCTCACCTCCAAAGCTTTCTCTTCATCATATATAAATTTTGGGAGCTTTCTCATCAAATCTTTTCTATCTGCTCCTGCTAGTGCCTTGCTTATCTACAAGATAATGTGGTATCAGCATAATATAAAACCTATAGAATTGTTCGGCAGATTAGAGTCCAGAAGCACAGTGAACGGATAAAGCCAGCTAATACACATATATTTGTCCTCAAAAATAGCCCATAGCCTCTTTTAAGTAAGGTCTTATCAAGGGTTACTGAAACAAATAACATCAAGAAATTATCTATATGATAATTGCCCTGTGGAGACATATTGCTAAAAAATGAGAGCAAATCTACATTTCTATTGTTTCCTGAGACAGTCTGATATCCCACACCCAATCCTCTGATTTCTCATAATACATAAACTTTATGCCATAGACTGGAAGAGAACTAATCTGACTTGATGAATCAGAAACTAGGTAACATTTCCTCACCTGGGGAGCATATATGCAACCCAATGCTCCAACAACAAGCCCTCCCAGTACAAAGCCACCAACAAATATGCTCGTGCTACCAGATCCTCTGCCATCCCCACTGTACTAAGATGAAAAACAGGCAATTTTTTAATGAAAAAGTAAAAGAAAAAAAATCATGACACAACTTGAAGTGAGGGTATAAATGCTGGCAAGAAGTAACAACTAAATCAATGCAGCAGGACACAGACAAGGGTCCCCATGACAAAAATTATTCGAATTAAACTTATGGAAAGCACTTGTTTAACATTTTTCTTAGTTTGCGACTCGATTCTATTGAGTAAAACAAAAACCTTGAGATATAAAACAACACACAACAAATAATATCACAGTAAAAATTATTGAAGTTTTTAATACCAAAATTAAAATAGCAGTGCCAATCTCATAATAACAAAAATTATTTAGGCAAAAAGAATTGTATAATAATGACAGGAAAAAAGAGCTTGGTTGCATCTCAGGTGGGTTTGAGGGTGGGTGAGAGTCATCCTATTTTAGGTCAGAAAATGTGTTTGGGCCAGAATCTGTATATAAGAAAACAAAAAACAATGATAGAGGATAAAGAAAAAACTTGAATTCCAGCACGACACGGCTAAGTAAACACGTCTATATTCAATCGATTTAAATATTTAAAATTAAATGCATCCTTGTATATAATTTTGCTGGTGTTGCTCTCGATCATAACAGATTCATGAAAACTTAAGAGTTTAATACTTAATTCAACCCAAACTAAAACTAAAGGACAAGAAGGTACTGGTATTCAATGATACCTAGCTTGAATTTTCAATGACCTCCTGCACTTCGAAGTTTTTGCGCCTCTCTCAGAGGTAGGGATGAATGCTAAAAAATTGGAATGAAGAGATTTGTCCGCTAGCACCGGAGGAGTACCTAGAATCATGTGTTAGGATCAATGAAATAAAAATTTTTAGAAATCCAACAAAAATATCCAGAGGAAATGCATAAAGCCTTCCCAAGTATGTCCAATATAAGTTGTGAAATCTTATATCGAACATTATGCTAAGAGGATTATATAAGCTAGGTGTAAACATGGCATTTAGTTTTCAATGCATAGTAATGTTCACACAAGACAATAGTTAGAAACTGTGATTCTAAAATCAACCCCTTTCTTGAGACTAAAAATTAGTTCAACTAACACACATAAGCTATTCAAACCAGGAGAAATACACGTTGAATTTTATTGTAAAGGAATGGGTGACAATCCTCAAGTGTAATTTCTAATTATGACATGCTGTCACAACTTAACTTCATTAAGATCTAACTGATAAAATCCTTTTTATAACAAGCAAGGAACAATGTAATGAAGCGAATTTATACAAGCCGTTCATCTAAACTTGACATGAATTAAACTAAATACAACCTACATACATCTTCAAAGGCATCCATGCTGATTTGAAATTCAATAAGATGGATTTAGCACCATGGAATTCAGACACTAGGGATTTGGAAATAAATTGGTTTCTCCCTTTATTTCCAGTTCTAAGCTTCCAAACCCATTATTGGGACACTTTTTGGCAGCATAAAATTGAGGCTTTTGATTAGTATCAGAATATCACGTTCAAATTTTAAGTACAATATAAGAGCTAAAAAGGGGGCAAGATATTAATTACTTAGAACCGCATACATTTAATTTTAACCAAGCAAGCACTCGGTTCGGGGGTCGGGGGGGGGGGGTGGATTTATATCCACTACTTAACTGTGAATAATTTAGTACTAATCAGAAATAAAAATAATTAAAATTACCAAAAATAAAAATTAGAAATTTAATCGCAATTAAAGCTAAAAACCAAATCTGATCGAACTAAAACCAAGTTTATCAAACATAATCATCATTTGCATCATTGCATGACCGATTATACATGTCCATATGTACAAATATTATCTAAAACGCAGAATTACGCAACTCATCCTCGAACATGGCAGTAGTATTAATAAATTCACTATGTAAATAAAACCGGTAAATATCTAAATTGTTGGAGAAATTCATTGAATTTTGGAGAAACATTACCAGGTAGGAACTGAGTCTGCGGACTCCGAACAGATGCGAGGGCATTCATCCTTCAAAATTTCAACTGTGTGCTAGATAGAGAGGAGTGAAGTCTGATCGAAGATTTTAGAGTTAGCCTCACAAGTTAAGGGCGTGGTTGACATGCCTTTTGAAAAATTAAGCCTTGTTTATAATATTATTTTATTAAATAATGTGTGATTAAAATGATATCAAAATATTATTTAGGAATGTATTTTTTTTTGAAGAAGGAGACTTTTGAGATTCATAAGTTGTTTTTGGACACTTTTGGCTAGTTTTGTTAAAGTGTTTTGGGTGGTTATTTGTTTTTCATTATTTAGCCATTAAAATAAAAATTAAGACTGTTATTCATTACATCAAATCACAATATTTAAATTTCTATATCTTGTGTGACTCGTAACGATCATATTTTTCGTTCACAATTTTACATTAATGGAAAACAAGCAGAACTTTAGAGTAAGTTGGTTTAATGTGGCTTTCTCTAATAACACTTTCAGAATGTAAAGTGCTTTACGTATTAGTTTTCAAATAGAATTAAGATAACTTCTTTCGAAAACTCTTCTATAAAAAACAAAAATAGAAGTTATGTCTAGCGGTCCGCATATAGTGGGAAGTAATATGAGCTCAACTGGTGGATCAATCAACATTTGTCTTACTTCCAGCAGCAGGGTGGAAGTTCGAATCCTGGTGGGAACCTGCGGCCAGATTTATTTGGTATGGAGCAATCACTTTGGAGGAGGATCTCTTGTGCGCAGAAGTGTACAGACAGTGAGGGAAACATGTGATCCAGTTGAGGCATGACCCGCGATTTACTCCCTTCAAGGTTCTAAGGGCAACGGTCTTGGGGGTCCAGGATTTAGTCTAGTGTAAGTTAGAATACCTGGATATCAAAAAAAAAAAAGTAATAATAATAATAATAATAATATGAATGGCTGTTGTATTTGGTCTTGATTTGTAGCCCCATAATTTTTTATGTGGAAATTAGTCTCCATAAGCCCCAAATTCAAAAAAAAATTGAAATTTACGTCCCTATGATATCACTTTTCTGAGGACTACTACAGAAATTGATATCCTATTCTCATTACCGTTTTTGGTCTGGGCGATTTTAGGCTAAGTTGGGGTTCAATTTTCCTCCTCCACACCACAACTCTGTGATTTTGGATCACTTCGTATTCAATTTTTGTTGCTTTATCCTATATAATTGAATTCATGATTGAAGAAGGTGAATCTAACGTTCACAAGTCGAAATTGACCAAAAGAAGAGTGTGTTCGAGAAATGTTCATTTGCTTTAGTTCGGACTTTTAGCACTATCTCCACCTATGTATCATATATGGTCAAATCTATTGTAATTTGTCCGTATGTACTTTGGCTATTTGCTTGATTTTGTATATTGTAATTTTTTTTTTTTTTCAATTTTTCAAATCGAGCAAATTTTAACTTTGTTGATATTTAAAGTTAGGTTTTATTTTGTTTATAGGAATTGCAAGAAATCCATTAAAATCTATAGAACAGAACTATATTAAAATTTATGAAATCCGTGGATATCTATTCAATTTCATGAAATCCATGAGAAATTATAAATCTCGAAAATTATATTAAACTTTGAGTTGAAGACACCCTTCTTAATTTCTTGTGGTTCCATCAATTTTTAATGAGAAAATTATATTCACAACTTCATTTGCCCCGTTTGGCCCAGATTAAAATTATAATTTATTTTCTCTATCTCCTTATCAATCACACAATATCCAATAAAATAATATTACATGTAAACCCAAATTTTTTTCTTATTTCTTAATCACGCATTTAAAAAAAAAAAAAAACAACCTATTCCAAAAATTATAATCTCAAATAATGAGGGTCAAATGGGGAGCATCTCTACATACTCATCGAACAACCAATTCCCGTACCAAGTTCTCACCTGTGCCAACTCTTGTTTCTCGTAATAATATTAAAAAGTTCATGACCATCAATTGATCAAAAGGTTAAGAGTGATAGATTCCAATTGTAATCTAACTTAAGATACCATCTCTCCCATTATCTAATTCATTATTGTTAGGTCTAAAGGTGTAATTGGCGATTCTGTGGACAAAAGGACTAAATTATAAATTTGTAAAAGTCAAAAACTTAATTGTACAATGTTATAAAAGTCAGGGACTTAGGGTGCAATTTAGAAAAGCTAGATGGTAGGGACTAGGGTTTGAGTGTTTAGTTCAAATCAAGGTCGTGGCACCGAAAGTTCGCTAGTTGTTCGTCCTGCCACCGCTCGAGCGAGAGGAAGCAGAATGGTCGTCGCTTGCTCGATGCTCGAGCGAAGTGGCGTCGCTCCTTGTTCGTTCGAGCTACGATGTTATATGAAAAATCGTATTTTCGATTTTTGGAAAGTTTGACACGGCCTAGGACTCCTAATTGCCCCCAACTATAAATGCAAAGACCGTGAACGTGAAAGAAAGATTGTCATATTGTGTTTTACATAGATATCATCTTCAATATACTCTTAAGTGATCCAAGGCAGAACTGAACAAAGAATTCATCCATAAACGCCTTGTGATTCGGGCAATTCACTGTTGGGGAAACATCACTATTTGTGAAGACAAAACACCTTGACTTCTTCATCTGTTGAGGAAGAGACTCTCTCATTGGGAGATTGAGAGAAGTGGACAATAAGCGAAGGAACTGGACAAAAACAGGAGGTTATTGGAATTCCACTTGGTGATACAATCAGCTAGAGACCAAGAGGCTATATTGGACAGCAGATTAGGCTGCAGGAGGTAAATTGGGAAGCTAGCAGGAGATTAGCAGTATCTACGGCAATAGATCGTGAGATTGGAACAGCGGGTCTGACTTGGTACGGAGTTTGGCATAACTTGTACTGGCTAGATTGGTACAGTGGAAACTATTGGCTTGATCCAGGAGTTACCCACGTTGGGATTTCTCCGTCATCATATTGTGATTTGGTGTTGTTACTGTTTTATTTATTTTACGCAAACCGACAATTCAACATAGGCTTAATTGGATGTGTATGTTTAATCACCTAGACAACAATTATTTTGTGACTTGTTACAATTAATTGTATTAATTCTGCACGTAAGGTCAAACGGTAAATTGAAACATAAACTTGATAACGCTAAAATTTGAATTTGACATAGTAAAGCATTCTTGTGAATTTAAATAGCAAAGCCCCTAGTACCACAATAGATGGTGTAGTCACTCTCACCCTTGTCGAGAACTGGTCTAGAACTCAATTGGATAATTGTAATTTAAATAGCAAAGCTTTCCATACCCTATTTATGACAGTTTCCCTCGAGAAGTTTAGGAGAGTGTCCATGTGTAAGGTAGCAAAAGGAAGTTTGAGATATTTTAGAAACCACACATGAGGGAACTCGGGTAGTAAAGAGTTCTAAGCTGCAGATGTTGGCCACTAGGTTTGAAAAGATAAGAATGAGAGACGATGAGATGTTTGATGTCTTTTATAAGAGTTTAAATAATATAGTAAATTCGTCCTTAAACCTAGGAGAGAAAATCCCTGAGCCTAAGAAAGTGAGAAAGATTCTTAGGCCTAAAGTCACCGCAATTGAGGATAGTCAGGACATAGACTAGTTATCAAGGTGGACAAGTTAGTTGGATCCCTCCAGACCTATGAATTGACCTTAGACAATCCAGCTAAGAAAAAATCCATAGACTTAAAAATCGCTAGAAATATTCGGATGGAATCTCCTGATTCTGATTCACCCAATGATGAGAAGATGGCCTACCTAACTAAAAAAATTCCAAAAAATATTTAGAAATAAAAAAAAAGCCTCAAGAGAGACAAAGAGGTGGCCCGAGTGAATCTAGGAAGAAATCTAAATCCGTGAAATGTTATAATTGTCGCGATTTCAGTTATGTGAGGAATGAGTGCCCTAGTGCTAAGAGATTTGAAGAGAAGGCTATGAATACTACTTTCACTGATGACGAGTCTAGCTCGGAAAATCAGAGTGAGAAGTTAACCCGTGAGGAGAGTGAAAAAATATGTGGCCTTCGTTGCTAGGGGTAAAAGTGGATCCGATTAGGGGAGTGAAAGGACAGAGGACTTACATAGTAGTGAAGATTCTGATGATGAGAGTGGAAGTGTGGAAGGTCTAGAAACAGCCTATGATAAGATGTATGAGGAAAGCCTCAAGATCTTAGCCACTACCTAGGTAATGAGCAAGAAAGTGAAAGAGCTTAAGTTAGAGAAGGAGCAGTTAGAGGCCCGTGTTAGTGATCTCACCAGTAAGAAAGAGATGTCCTCTAGGAGAGTAAGTGAGCTGACCATTGTGAATGAGACTTTAGCTATTTAGGTTAAATACCTTGAGAGTGAGCTAGAGTTGTCTAGGTCTCAGTTACTTGTTTTTTCTAGCAGTTCTAAAAGGCTAGATAATATTCTAGGAATAGGCAAGCCGACTGGTGATAAGGGAGGTCTAGGTTTTGATCTGAATGTTGCTAGTACATCACAGACCACCTTTGTTTGTACTACTGACAAGCCAAACATTGTGACTAACCCCATATCAAATGTTGTGGGAACTTCAGGACGTAGGTCTACCAGACGTCGTAGAACCCGTCGGCCTAGGAAAAGAAATCAGCGTAAGCATATCACAGGTCCTAGGTTTATCCCTACATGTTTTCACTGTGGAGAGTTAGGTCACATCCGTCCTAAGTGTCATTACTACCTGAACAATAGGAAAGACTTGAGCTTGAAAAAGAATAAAAATCAGGTGTCTATTGGTCATATTGAATTCCTTACTGATCAAGTGAATCGTTTGACTCAATTGGTGACACAGCTGTCTGGAAACAATCATCGCTCTAGACAGGTTTTGGTGAAGAAAAGCGATCTCCCAAATTTGGTTAGAGATCGTGGTGCTCTTAAAGGAAAGATCACTTATATACCTATTTGATTAGGTATTTTTGATGCATGTTTATCTCTTAATTGACATATAGTTGTTGCGTGCATCACATGTATATTGTTTGTTTTTGTTTTGTTATTTTTCATGCACGTGCATTTTCACTTACGAGTTTTGACGCATGCATATTTATTTTTGTTTTTGTGTACTTGACTTGACTTTATTTTGTGTGTGGAGCATTCATTTTAGGAAATACAAAAAAGACAAAAACAA